AACTTTATTAGAAATTTTCTTTGATAATAAATTGTAATATAGGTACCAATTATTGTTTCAAATGAAATTGAAAAAGAGTTAAATATGAAATTAGATTTTTCATGAGTAAAATGTTATATTCATTCGAACATTGTAAGGTAATCTATAATTAAGGGAATATGGAAAATAGGTATACCCTGGTGGTGTAAGAGAAAGGTAAGGGGCAATGACAAAAAAATTACAAAAATGTATTTATCTTTAAATAGCGTTTATTATTAATAATATTATTTGATATGTTTGAAAAGTACCTCCTGCTTCCGAACAGATCGAATAGATTAGACTACTAGTTGGAGAAGGTCCACCTAGTAACCAAATTAGGAGACTAGGAAAACTTTTACATGACTGGGGACACAACAGGAATGCACACACACAAGATACACAAACAAACGAAATAACAGGGGTAAGCCTTCAGCAACGTCCTGTTTAAATGATGATAGTATGTCATCCTTCATTCCCTTTTAGAAGGCATGGCATATAAATATATTGATCTTGATTACTATAAGAGGAGTTAGCAGGGGTCTAGCAGGTTTCGATCCAGTTTACAGGATGGGAACTTACTTGACTCCGACCCACGGTGTACTATAAGGTGTATCAACTCCTATTTAAAAACAAATGAAAACGGCGATAAAACCGATCGTACTTCCTAGCTAAAATCCGCTAGGTTCGCTAGTATCTATCCGGCGAGAAAGTAAATAAAAGATGAAGGTGGTAGGAGCTGCAATTTGAAAAGTGTTGACATAAATATTTTTTAAAATCTAAAAATATATAAATCATGGTGGATCGTTGAGCTGTTTTTAATTGTGATTATGGGAGAGAGTCTTCAACATATTGATAGCAGTTTTATAATGCCAAAAAACAGTTATACAGAATATGGTGCAATTATTTAGGTTGTATGGAAATAAACATTAAACCCAAAAGTTCCATTTGTGAAAAACATTTTAATGTAAATTATGTTATCCGTGAAAAAGTGCTAAGAAATCTACTAGGAAACGTTATTTTTCAAGTAAATATGTTTAATGTCTACCTTTTAAATGATTGTAGGTTATGTAAATAGGTTATTCAACTTTGTCTTTTCTGTAATAAAAATAATTATTAGTATAAAGTTTTACTATATAAACATTTCGTATTATTTATCCTGTCCCCTTGGTACTAATAATGTTATGACTTGGACCCTATTATAATGTGTTCATGGTATACATTTCATATACACAAGGTACCTATTTCTTTTGATATTTTTCTGACCCTGTGAATAAATAAAATCTTTGACTTATTCCTTTTAGCCTGATTATAATGCTAGAAAGTTGTATCTGGTTATAAGAATCAAATAGATACTATGATAAATTTATTTTACTTGTAGCCTTTTTATTTTCAAGTGTTTAAATATACATTTGTTTAATAATAATCATCCCCGAATGTGTTTTGTTCCAGTTCTTTAAATGTATTTACTAGGTTTTTATAGAAGTACTGATTTTAAATTAATACAAATTTGAGTTGTAAGAAATATTTAAGATTTTTCAATTCTGTATTTTTATAGGAGTTAATCCCTTTAAGTAAATAAATGTAGTTTGGGGTCGTAGATGTTGGTATTTGTGTATTGAATAATTTGTACATACACTGGTTAATAATTTAAACAATGTTTTTTCTGATTTACCTAATAATTATTTAAGGTTTTCTTGTAGTTGAGGAGTCTAGAAATCCGCATATTCACACCATTCTGCACTGAATGAAGTCTAGAATTTGACACAACGATCCTATTAATTGAAAATCTACAATTTTTTTATTTTTAATCGATGAAAAAATTGGTAAATACATGATAAAAAGTAAAAGTTATTTAAATATGCTTATTCCCTGATTCCAAATAATTAAATATAACCTTGCAACTATATGTTACGATTCCAACTATCAGAACTAGCCGGAACAAGAATGGTGCATTTCCAGACCCTTCAATTATAAGATTACCATTATTTAATGTGCAGTGCAAATATAAAAAAAACTACCTAAAAAATGCTGTTCCTGCTTTTATTACTTATGATGGGACTACTTCTCAAAGGAGACGAGAATGTGGAAAGTATTGCTGATACAGTTATCGAAGTTATCCACTGGAGGTGAAGTGTTAATCTTTTAGGAATATAGGAAATATTTTTTTATACCTAACAACTTAATATTTATTTATTGATAAGTTATAGATACTATGTATTTGAAATTCAGCAGCAGCATTCTTATTGTATTCGGATTCTAACACAAATAAAACATCTCATTAAATTTTTGTTAAAATTATTAATTTATTAATTTTACACTAGAAAGAAAATTAACAATACACACAAAATTATTTAAAATTAGAAATAAATACAATTTACACATTTCCCATTATTACACTTTTATTTTCTTAATTTATTCATTTCTTATATTAACAATTTCAATTAATAATATAGTTCATTATTTAATTGGAACTAATTTTATAATTTTTATTAATTATTTTTTTATATTTATTTGTGGAAAATGAAATATTAAATAAAAGTATAGGAATTGTTCTATTGGATAATAGCAGTAATGAAAAAATAAGTAGGAAAATTTCAAATGTATAGTTTCCAGATTTATTATGAGTTTTTTATATTAAATGTACTCAATAAGTAGGTTTATTATGTTCGCTTGTACACGTCACAGCAGCAGACAGTAACAAACCTGGCAACACTTCTGATTTCAGAAAAACATTACAACAATTTGTTTTACATTATATATTTCAATAATATAATATAATAATCATTTATATTTAATTAATGACAAGGTTTACTTTTTAAATAAAACTATATGAGCCCTGTCCCGTTTCAATTAGCACACTTCTCATATTTATAGTAACTGTCACTACAAGAACAAATCATATATAAATCTGATAAATTCTTTTATTTTTTTAACCCTTTCACTTCCACTTTCATTAAAAAAAATACCATTGTAGTAGATTGTATGTTTTCTTTGTTTATTTTAAGTAAATTAAAATATTTTCATAGTATTTTTTATTACTCCAAGACATAACGTCCCTGTGCAGGGACATTACAAAAACAAAAATTTACTATGAAAATAATTTTGTTATAATATTAATCCTTAAAAGTAATGCAAATAAAGTAAATAAACCAAAAAGAAAAAAATTCTACCAAAATTAACAGATTTATACTTTAGGGTTAATTAAGAGTGTCCCTCTGGAGGGACAAATACACTGAAAGGGTTAAATATTTACAAATTTTCATGAGTGTTTCATCACCTTTAACTTTGATAACGGCAATAATTCATTAAAACATTGTATTTACAAGTTCTTGAAAATCTTGTGCAGGGAACCTACTCCATATTTTTAGATTACCCATTTGAATTAATTCTGGCAGTGATCTTGTGGGTGCTGCACGCCTCTGCTTAAAAATTATCACCCCATATGGGTGATTGCCACAAAAGCGACTAATCCCATGTCCTGTTAATTAGTCGGAAAACTGAAATCATTAAAAAAAATTAAAATATTTCAATTTATCCAGATAAATGTCATCTAAAAGTTTACTGAAAAAAAATATATTTTTTTTTAATTTTAACTACTAATTTAAATTAAAATTCACTTAATATGTCAGTCCCGTGTCTGTCCCTAACCCGACGTTTGCATACATACTTTTAGGTATATATCTCTCTTGAAACTATTTAAAAGAAAAATAATGTTTTTCTATTTACTACTTTATTATTAGTTAGATTACTGACTGGGTAACAAATTAAAATTTAATTTTTCCTATTTTATTGCCACGTAAACTTTGTCCTGTGCTTATGAGGTCAGTTCCGTGTCCTATACTTAAAACCCGACATTTCATCTCCATTGCATTTTTAACCATTTAGTTTTGTCTTGGATGCAAGCAAGTTTGCACGCATATTTGTTGTAACGCACGTGGTTAACAATTTATTGGGTCAAACATGGGTGTAATGTGTTGACTGGTCAGTCCCGGGTTCACCTATTTTAGGCAAAATTTTTATCGTTGATGTCCATTTTCAAGGTAAGTTAATCCAACATGATTTCTTGTAGTTGTACTATATTTTATTTTAATTTATATTTAATAAGATAGCGTGTTTTAACCAATTTTTCTTAAAAATGTCAGTTCCGTGGTGTCAGTTCCGTGTTTTATTAAAGACACGGAACTGACATAACTAACCCGGAACTGACTTTTTCTATATGTTTAACGGTCGTTTAGTTTAATAGATGTTACTAACAATATTTTTTTTTATATTCAAGGAAAATAAATAATGGGTAAATATCCTAAACTGACAACTGAGGAACGTAATCGGCGAAAGAGAGAAAGAGAACGTGAGCGTAGAAGAAAGATTAGAGAAGACCCTGTAAAGAGAGAAGAGCAAAGAGAAAAAGAAAGGCAAAAGTACAAGAGACAGAAAGAACAAAATATAAGGAAAAGTATTAAGAACATGACTCCCAGAGAACAAAGAAAAGTACGGAAACAATGGAAGAATTACACAAGAATTCATAGACTTAAAGAAAAGCAGGAAGCTGAAGTAAATGGGCAAATTTTGGAAAATACTCCCCCTCCTTCTGAAAACGAAAATGAACCAGAAATAATACGCAACATCGTAACCCAAGAAAGTTTTAGAGAAAGAAGAAGGATAAGTAATAGAAATAGCGTCAGACGATATCGGACAAAAAAGAAAACATTGGAACAGGTAGAATATTACAGAAAACAACTTGAAAAATATAAGAAGCGATGTCAGAGATTACAATCCAAAATAAATCGCAAGACTAAAAACAATTTAAAAACAGTTAAAAGCCCCGGCCTTACTCCTTTTACTCGCACAAATATTATTTTGGAAGAATCTAAATCCGAAAATAATGAAAAGGTTAATGAGGTCAAGAAAAAACTTTTCTTTGGAGAAGTTATTAAAGATCAGCTTCGTGAGGCTTATAAACATTTAAAAACGACCAATGAAAAGCGGGTTTTCAAGAACATTGTCAACGGGGAAATTATTAAGAAATATAATTTTAAAACAACTTGCTCAAAGTATTTTAAATATGGAAAAATTAATGAATATCATAACAATGTAAAACTACAGGGTGGATCACGGAGCAAGTTCTTGGGCCAGTTGAGAAAAAAAATTCAAGACTTTTATGAAGAAGACATCAACAGCCGAATTTGCCCAGGCAAGAAGGATTTTGTGAAGAAAAATAAAATCAGACGTCAAAAACGCTTTTTACTTGACACTATTAAGAATCTATACCTAAAATATCTAAAAATCAACCCACATCCAAATATAAGCTACAGATTGTTTTGCCGATATCGCCCATTTTGGGTGAAAGCTATGAATGTGGTGGACCGAGATACATGTAAGTGTGTGACACATGCTAATATGGAGTTAATGGTTGACAGTTTGTACTCCAACAAGATTATTTCCGGAAAGACTCCTGCTCAGGTAATTAAAGACATGTGTTGCAACGATCATGATGAAAATTGTCTTTTAAGGGAATGCTCTAAATGTAAAAACTCAAGTATTCTATACAATGATTATGACGAAAACCTAACTATTCAGTATTTTAAATGGCTTAATTTAAATCAAGCATACTTTGACAAAAAGACGCAAACAACGAAGTTCACTAAAAAAATTGCCAAAGCTGCCAAGCAAGTAAAAGTGTCTGATTTTGTGCAACAGTTTGAATGCCAATTAAAATCTTTTATGTGTCACAGTGCTCGAATTGGACACCAATACAATTTTATAAAGACATTGAAAGAATCCTTACAACCAAATGAATTAATTTTACACTGTGACTTTAGTGAAAATTACAGTCTAAAGTACTCGCAAGAAATACAATCCTACCATTTTGGAGGATCCCGGCAACAAATAACAATGCACACATCTGTAGCATATTCGAATTTGCAAAACACTGGAGTCAATGTGGACAGCTTTTGTACTCTTTCAGAATCCCTGGATCATAACCCACCTGCCATATGGGCGCATTTGTTTCCACTATTCAAATTTTATGCTAACAAAGGTATTAGAAAACTACATTTTTTGAGTGACAGTCCAAGTACTCAGTACCGGAATAAAGATATGTTTTCCTTCATTGCTAATCAATTAAAGAAACATTTCAATGATATAGAAGAAGTAACTTGGAATTACAGCGAGCCGGGCCACGGAAAGGGGGCTCCTGACGGCATAGGCGGGGTATGCAAGCGCACAGCCGACCGCATTGTCGCACAAGGGCAAGACATTTCCACGTTTCAAGATCTTGTATTAGTTTTACGTGAACATTGCACTGGTGTTCACTTTTTCGAAATCACCAATGAAGAAATACAGTACTGTAAAGATTTAATTAAAAATACCAAAAGATTGTCGTTTCATGGAACCATGAAAGTCCGTCAGATTAAGACCTTTACTGGAACTAGAATTCTTTTTTTAAGGTCTTTATCGTGTCTTGACTGTCAAGAATTTTGCAAACACTTTGAACTGGGACAACTCAATTATAACAATGCAACAAAAGTAGACCGTGAAATATCTAAAAGTACCTTTAATGCCACTGAACGCAAGTTAAAAAATTCGCTTCCTTTATCTAAACGTAATGCCTCACATAAGAAACTGAAATATGAGGATGTATACAGTGATGAAGAAAACACCAATGAGCCAATCTGCTCCAAATCGTCGACTTCTATAAAAACTGGCTCCTACATTCTTGTAAATGTTAAAAAAGAGAAAAACAAAATAAAAGATGCCAAAACTTTTGATACTTACCGTTACGCAGCTGTTTGCCAAAGTGACGTTGATAATGATGGTGAAGTAACGGTAGCTTTTCTTAAAATTATATCCGACAAATCCAACAGAAATGAGCAAGTTTTCAGACTGGATGAGCAGGATAAAAGCTGTATTGAATATGATCAAATTGTTAAAGTTTTACCTCAACCTAATTTAGTATTAAAAGGTAACCGAGTGTATTATAAATTTCCGGAAATAGTGGACATATTTGAATCTGCTTGATTTGATAAGTTTCTAATATTTTTAGTACAACTGTACAAGTACAACAGAATTAGATTTTTATTTGTGGTGTTACTCATTGCTCAATTATGGGCAACTAAATTATTTTTTGTTTTCTTTTTTATTGTTCTTTAACTGTATTATTACTTTTTTATTTTTGTATGCTTAATTCCAGAATTAAGAGTTACATGTACTAATAATGTTTTATAAAGTACTTATTTTCTATTATTAAAGTTCCTTAAAGAACCAAAAAAGTATGTTTAAACACTATTTGACTGTTCAAGCATTTATTTTTTTACTGAGACTTTTTACATTTCCTTTTTTTTATTTTTTATGAAATAAATGTTTCTTAAACTATAAAAAGTTTGTTTGTTTTTTATATTTTTTAAAACGCATCACGTTAGTGCAATGTTTTGTCAGACTCATACTTCAATTGTCAGTACCGTGCTTTGATTGTCAGTAACGTGCTTTGATTGTCAGTACCGTGCTTCGATTGTCAGTTCCGTGTTTGGCTATTTTTTTAAAATGCAAATATTTCGATAAAATAACATATTTCATAACATTATCATACAAAGATTTTTACTTATGCATCTAATACATATCTTAAGTACAGTTATTACAATTATTTTTGACTTTTATCTTTCAGACACATTTACCTTCTAAATTACTCACTTTTGGGGCAATCACCCATATACAAAAAAGCATCTTTATTAAATGAACAAGAAACTAAAAAAAAATAAGCATTATTAAAAACTACAAAAAGTGCATCATTTGAAAATCCATATTCAAGCTCCAGATTTGAAAAATTAAAAAAAATTCCAAATACACATTTAACTTGTTTGATTATACCTATATTGAATAAAAGGTCTGTTCCAACAATCAGAAACAAACCACTGGGTAGTACACAATTTTGCAGTCTCAATAAACTACTGTGCAGAATCCTGATGTCAGTAACTCATTTCTGAGCATTGTTGGAACAAACCTAAAGTAAATCGAAACCACTTAAAAACAAGCACAACATTTATACTCGAGCAAATTTTTAATTCCTATCAAATTTTTAATTACTGAATATTTTGTTCTAGTTATATTAAAATTTAAAAGTTCTTACTCTTCATTATAATTATATTTTTTATTTTCCCTATATACCTACATACTATCTCTAACATTTTACAAATTTGATGCCTAATTAAAGATTTCATCTAGCATTGCAGAACATAAAACGTTTTTCACATTTGTATAAATCTTCTACATCTGTCATATTAGGATAACAAGATTGTATCTAGACAGCTAGTTATTTTTTGGAGTTGAAGTTTGTATAGCCATTAACTTGTTTGATTTTCATTGTGTTTCTAACTCTAATTTAAGAGAAAATTCTTAAGTGATAAAAAATGCAGAAAGAACTAAGCGACCTACATTTTTTAGAATATTTGATAAAGCATAGTAGTAACTGCCAGTTAAAACTGTGTTTCTAGTATTTAGTTTAGGTAACAGAGATAAGGCTTGGAACAGAAAATACATACTTTTGTTAATTCAGAATTTTTAAATGTTGTTTTATATTATACATCTTTCTAGGTATCCTCTATAATTTTTTTTATAATTTTCAATCAAAACTGTTTAAAAACAAAAAGTTTAATAAAAAAATACCCATTATATTTAATACGGTTTATGCTCTAAAACTCACTGTTCTTTTAATGGCAGATTTTTTAACCTCTGAGTAAAGTTACGCATAAGTATAATCTATAGCCTAATCAGCAAGTAGTTACTTTCAACTTTATTCAGAGGTAAAAACCTGGCCTTTAATCTTAATATAATTGTGGAGGATGGAGACTACATTTGCTAGGGATTAGGGAATAACAAAGATCTAACTACTATAATAACACTTGCTAAAAACTGTATAAGTTCTATGTACATGCAGATAGAACCATGTGAATAACTTTAGTGCTTCGATAACACAACATTGATAATTAACAGATGAACATATTGGTCACAAAAACAAATTAATTAATATATTCTACCAATCTCATTTTTTCCAAAAAGTACAGTTACAACCTTGTTATTCTTTGAGATGTATTTATTACTGATACTTATTAATAAAAATAATAATAATAATTGATATTATAGGTACTTACTGATCTTTGGAAACATATATACTCCAGTCCAGTGAGACTTCATTATTCTGGTATAATGCTATTTCACAGAAATGTTTGTAATTCCAATCACTATGTATGGATTTGATTATAGTAGGTATAAAACTAAATGTTTATTGAATATCTTTAATCTGGGCAATGAAAACCACAAAACTCACTTTAAAAATAATAAGCTTCAATCTGAGTACCATAGTTAAGGTCCACTTCTTCATTTTATAATCTGTAACCCACTGTATTGCTGTTTTTGCCAAAACAAAGGTAATATTTGAACACAAAACAAAATCAGCTGTTTTTTATAAACACCCCCATTTCACTTATTTAGTAGCAAGTCTCTGGCAGCAACTTGTAACTTAATTGGAGCATATTTATTAAATCTTGAACACTTTTTTTGATCCTATAAACGCACACATCAGTGTAGCTTGTTTAAAAAAAAACACTTATAAGCAACCATCAATAACAATAAACTTATTTGTTGACCATTAATTTTTTCATCTGTACTTCTTCTGATAGTTTTGTTATTTTTCATTTCATATAAACTCGAATTTTCACCATCACCAACTATTTTTATGATTGCACTTTTTCTGACAGATAAAAAGATTGCCGCAATTTTCCGCCGTAACGACACTAGCGAACCTAGCGGATTTTTGCCCTAAGTACGACCGGTTTTGGTATGTTTTTTTCAGGGAGTTGAAACACCTTTATAGTGCGCCGTGCTCCGACCTTATACATTTGTGTTGAGTGTATGTGTGTTTCGTTTCCATGGTTTCTATTAAAATAAACAGTCATAACATATCCATACCTTTTTGCCAGACTAACATAAGTGACATTTGTTCAAATGGCACTTATGATAGTCTGGCAAAAAGGTATCGATACTATACTTTATAAAATATTTGTTACATTAGTTTTTAAATATATTATGAATATATAACAACTGTTACTTTCTTTGTAATTTGTCACAAAATGATAGGAGGTACTTTCTAAACGAAGCAATTGTAGTTTGTTTTTATATACCTTACAAAAATATAATTTATAGAAAAAGAGTTTGGTGTATTATTTTTTCAAGTTTAAATATTTACTAATCAATAGAATTTTCAAGTTTTTTTTTAGCGAAATTTAATAAAAACTATGTTCACTGTTTATATTAAACTGATTAAAACTTCCTTTATTAAAATGATTATTTATGTGATAAAAAATTTGATGTTATTGGAAGCTTTTATATTTTTTTAATACACAGTGAAACAATAGTTTTTGTTTCTCCTGTAAATTTGTATAGAAAAACTATTTATTTCTGAATCCATGTTTGAATTTCCCGCCCTAAAGCATTTTTAATTTTCCCGCTATTTACTAGTGGCGCCATCATAGACTGATTGTGGTTACAATCGCCCAAATAACTTTTACCGAACAAAAAAAATACATTGAGTTACACGTCTCGCTGGATTGTCTCTGACCGTTACCTCATTTTCACACAACAATAGAAGTAGAGGTTTCGGTATTTGTTTTTACCCAGTTATAGTTATCTGGCAACATTTATCTGGCAGCATAAAAATCTTGTTTAAATTATAAATCTTAATCAATTACGTTTTTGATAGAACTAGTTTAGTTAAATGAAATGACCCTTCTGTCTTTGAACAGTGTCTTGTATGTGAGATACCGCTAAATAAATATAGTCACGATTTGTCAGCTTTGGGAAAGAATCAATTTTAAAATGATTCCGCTGATAATTTCGCCCAAAAAGTATTTGAACCCCATTACTTTCTTGCAGATTGTCCAGCATATTTTTTTAATATTATGGTTACATGCATAATGTAACTTTCTCAAAAGTCTCTAAAGAAATGCAAAGTCCCGTTTTAATAATTTCAAAACATAATTACTTTTGGTGATTGGCTGCATGGTTCACCCTGTATAAAAAGTACAAATAGCGAAATCTTTTAACCTCAAAATTGTTAACGGGTAGATATTAAGATAATGAAATAATTTATCTGTGGCGCAACTGTAGAATTATTGAGTGTTTGCGAAAATATATTGTGATTTATTCGTAAATCACCCTGTAACAGTATATATTTTAAAATGTCCTTTTTTATAAATATCTGACCAAAAATTATATCAAACTTTTATATACATTAAGTCAATCTATCTTTTCAGTTTGATGAAAAAATAACTAAAATTAGTAATTCTCCACTTTAACGCCCTGTATCTTGAAAACTAGTCTTGCAGCCGGTTGCAAGAACGATTGTTAAAATCTCTCGTTAGCTAAAGAACAAATAACTAACTGAGATTAAAACTGGCAACGGCGCTTTTCCAACTGACAGTCTGTCGCTTCACAGCTGATCACGGGAGATTTTTAAAATAATGAAGTTAATTTGGTAATATTTTTTCGAAAATTAATTACAAATAAAGTAAAAAATGAAATTGAGGCTCAACCTTTACGACTATGGGTAAAGTTGTAGGAAAGGTATGTACTTAACGCGCATCCTGGCCGCGCATATGTAAACATCGTTATATTTATCGCGTATTTGTTTATATTTATTGATTTATTTATTTGTTATTTTACTTAGATATTATTTATTAATAATATAAAAGTAGCAATCTGATAACGTTTGTACAGTTATACTGTGTAAAAAAAACAATTAATTTATATGCGCGGCCAGGATGCGTGTCAGTACATACCTTTCCTGCAACTTTACCCGACTATGGTTAAATGTTAACACTATCCCTATCTTTTTTCGACATCGGCTCATATTTTTTAATAGACAGAAGCAAGGACAGTCGTTTCAGAGAAAAAATGTTTTACACATGAATATAATTTCTTAAAATAAATAGAATGGCTTAAATGAAGAAAGGTTCCAGTAAGTCACTGGAAAATACTCATTTAACTGCCTTTCTAGTAGTGCTCGATTAAAAATCTGTGATTTGTGGTTTAAAGCAACAGTATTTAAATAGGTATAGTTTGTCCCTTTTATATAAACTAAAACTATTTTTTCTTGTACTTACTTTACATTTTCTCTTCCCGTTTGTCATGGAAAAGCATATTTCTTTCTACTGTACATTATTTTTTCAAATAGAAGTACATAATTAAAAATATGTTTAGTTTTTATCATGTGTGCAAACCCCATTTACTGTGGTAATATTTCCAATGTATTTTCTATTTTTAACAGACTTCAAAAAAGAAGTAGGTTCTCAATTCATTGGAATATATTTTTTTATGGATATTCAGCGACAATTCTTTACTATGTTGTCCGATTTCTGATTATTTTTTTGTTAGAAAGGGGGCTCCTCAGAGATGGTTTCTTAATATAAATTTGGTAAAGATCTGATGATGGGATTCGTGAGAAAATAATCACTCTTCGTATTTTGTAGTCGTCAGTTTTTTTTAAATTAATTTTGTTACTTATACATTTTTCAATGAATCAAAGTAAAAAACTGTTTAAATTGGGAAATTTCCAAAGTTCAGTATCTATTTTTTAGTTAGAAATGGAAAACTGGAGGAAAATCTCTGGTATGAGAAATAAATTCACATTTGACCTATTCTTGAAAATCATATA